TTTGTCAGACTTTTCTACATATATTGAGATGATCATGTGATTTTTGTCTTTAAGTCCATTTATGTGGTTTGTTTTACTTACTGATTTGCTTATGTTGGACCTTCACTGCATTTCAGGGATAAAGCCAGCTTGGTAATGGTAGGTAATCTTTTTTATGTTTGTCTGTATTTTGTTTGCAGTTATTTTATTGAGTATTTTTGAGTCTATATTCATCAAGGATTCTGGACTATAGTTTTCTTTGTTGTTGTTGTTGTGTCTTTACCTGGTTTTGGTATTAGAGTACTACTGGCTTCATAGAAGGAATTTGGGAGCCAGCCTCCCTCCCTTCCTCCCCCCTCTCTCTCTCTCTTCCTCCCTTCCTAGTTTAAGAAGGATTGGCTAAATTTTCAAAAGTCTGGTAGAATTCTGCTGTGAATCCATCTGGCCTTGGACTTTTGTTAGCTGGAAAACCTTTTATTACTATTTCAATCTCCTCATTTGTATGAGTCTGTTTAGGTTGCTGACTTCTTGGTTTAATTTTGGTGGTTTGGCTGAATCTAGAAATTCATTTATTTCTTTTACATTTTCCAACTTAATAGAGTCTAGGTTTTTAAAATAGAACCGTATGATAATTGAGTATCTTTGATGCCTGATCTAACGTTTTCCTATTTATTTCTAAGTCTGTTCATTTGGGTCCTCTCTTTGCTTAGTTGGGCTAAGGGTCTGTTGATCTTACTTATCTTTTAAACAACCAGTTGTTACATCCATTGATACTTTGTGTTTTTTTTTTTTTTCTTTGTTTCTATTTCATTGATTTCTGCTTGTTTTTGTCTTTATTTCTTTCTGGTGACTGGATTTATATATGGTTTGCTCTTGTTTTTTTCCAGAAATTTTAGTTGCATCATAAATCATTTATTTGTGCTCTTTTTTATTTTTTTTATGTAGGTCATACATTTCTCTTGTAAGACTGCTTTCAATGTGTCCCAGAGGTTTTGTTGTATTGTTTTCATTTTCATTTAGTTTTTTTAAATTTCTTTCTTGATTTCTTATTTGACTCATTCATTATTTAGTAATGAGTTAGTTAATCTCCATGAATTTGTTTGTTTACTTGAGTTCTGTTTAATGTCAATTTTAAGTTTTATTGCATTGTAGTCAGCTAGAATACAAGAAATGATTTCAATCTTTGTGATATTTTTTAAATCATTTGTTTTGTATTCCATGGTATGGTATATTTTAGAGCTGGTATATTTAGAGCAGCTTATGTGTGCTTTTGAGTAGAATGTATAATCTTTGGTGTTTGGGTGGAATATTCTGTAGATATTTGCTAAGTTCATTTGGTATATGAATCAATTAATTATGTTTCTCTGTTTTTGTTTTGTTTTGTTTGTTTGTTTGTTTTTTGTCCAAATGACCTACCTGTCTGTTGTAGAAAGTGGGGTGTTGAAATAATCTAATATTAACTGATTGATTTTAATTTGTGCCTTTAAATCCAGTAGTACTTGTTTTATGAAATTGGGTACCTCAGAATTTGGTGCATATATGTTTAAGATAGTAATGTTCTTGCTAACTGTTCCCTTGATTAGAATGAATAAAGTATCCCTTTTTATCTCTTCTGATTATATTTAGTTTGAAGTCTTATTTTGTCAGATACTAGGATCCTGACACCTGCTTGCTTTCTGATCCCATTTGATTAGAGTACTTTTTTCCCTTCTTTTACTCTAAGGAGATTCCTGTCTTTAAAGCTAAGATGTGTTTCTTATAGATAGGTGGATTTTTGTTTCTTGATTCTTTCAGTCAGCTTCTGTCTTTTGATGGGAGAGTTTAAACCATTTATATTTAAAGATATTGTAATGTGTGAGTAAATTTTGGTCATTGTGTTGTTGATTTTTGGTAGTGGTGTTCGTATTCTTAGTAGTACTTTGTTTTTAAATAATTATAACTTTGTATATCTTTCCACAGTCTTCCTGCTATACTCATTCCTCTCTTCAGCCCATAGTATTACTTCTTGTATTTTCTTTAGATTTGGTTTGTTGAATATAAATTTATTTAGGCTGTTTATGTCTTGAAAAGTCTTTATCCTTCAATTATGGCAGATAATTTTGCTAGGTCTATTAGTTTAGGTTAGCTTTCTTAGCCTTTTAGTTCTTGGAATGCCTTGCTCTCCTGGCTTTCTAAATTACCATTGAGAAACAGCTGTTATTCTGATGGATTTTTCTTTATATGTAACTTGCATTGTTTTGTTTGTTTCTCTTGTAGCTTTCAATCTCTTTGTTATGTATCTGTCGTGTTTTACTCTGATAAGCTGTAGGGATTTTTCTCTTTTGGGATTATCTATTTGGTGTTCTCTATGATTCTTACATCTCTGTGGGTGTGTCTTTCCTTTGTTTGGAGCTGTTTTCTTCTATGATCTTGTTGAGATTCTTCTCCCTCATGTATTCTTGTAATCAAAGATTTGATATTTTTATGGTGTCTCATATTTCCTATATATTCCTTTTCTGTGATTTTAATTTTTTTCATAGTCCTTGATAAAATGATCTATATCCTACTTTTATTTTCAAGTCCTGATATTCTATCTCCTGCTTAATTCATTCTACATGTAAGACTTTCTTTGCATTTTCTAGTTGAGTTACAGGTGTTCTCTAATTCCGCTTCAGTTTGTCTGTCTCCTTATTGAGTTCCATTCTGAAGTCTTGGATTGTTTTAGTCATTTCCCTTAGCCTGTTTGTGCTTTCTTGGTCATCGATCAGTTGTTTATTCTCAAGTTCTTTCTCCTAGATTTCATTGTGCTTTTTCTTTGTCTTTTGTTTTTTAACTCCATAAATTATTTTTTTATGAAGTTTATGATGATTGTTTTAAATTGTGGGTCCTGGAATTCACCTCAGAAATTCTCATTGGCAAATATTTCTACAGGAATGGTAGGTTTTGGAGAGAACATACTGGTTCTGTTTTCATATTGTTAGTGTTTTGGGAATAAGGTCTGTACATATGAATTATTATTTAGTTCTTAATCTGATATGGGCAGAACAGGATATGGACAGAACAGGTCGCAGCAGAAGAGACAATGTGAAGCAGGTTGAGCCTAGACATTATAATGGCTTGGGTGGGATGAAGTCAGGTGAACAGAGGGGATTTGACTGGTGTATTGGGATGAGCTTCTTAGTCTATGCTTGGAGTGTGAAACTAGATCTGGCTGTGTAAAAATTTTGGATGTGGCATGGCAGGGCCTATGGGTTGGAGAACAGGTAGGGAGGATCCTGGCAGAAGTCTAGAGATGATTTGTAATGCAAGCAAGAGAGGCCAAACTAGGCTGGGTCAGTAGATATGGGACTTGGGCTAGATCTGACTGGTTGTGAAGAAAGCATGGATGGGGAAGTCAGGGGACTAGCCCGTAGGAGGTCTCAAAATTCTACATTTTTAACACTATAAATTTCATCTATTTTTTCAGAACCTTATGTGAAATACATGCAGTTATTCAGCTTAGTACATTTTAGTTACCAAAGGCTATTATTACCTTCATCACAAATTTGAAAGCCACCCCAAAAAGAACACCTCTCAGTTACTTAGCTTCTCATTTTAGAAACTTATACATGTTTTTATATGTTGCATATGTTATTTGCTTGTCCATATTTATTTTTCTGTAAATTATCTGAGACAGTACATTTAGTCTGTTTCCATCTACTAGAGCAGTGGTTCTCAACCTCCTAATGCTGTGACCCTTTAATACAGTTCCTCATGTTGTGGTGACCCCCAACCATAAAACTATTTTAGTTGCTACTTCATAAGTGTAATCTTGTTACTGTAATGAATTGTGATCTAAATATCTGATATTCAGGATATCTGATACAAGACCCCTGTGAAAGGATCATTTAATCCCCAAAAGGGCCTCAACCCACAAGTTGAGAACTGCTGCACTAGAATTAAAGTTCCTTCGGAGAACCAATTTCATGTTCATTGCTGCATCCCTTGGGCTTAGAGTAGTCCCTAAAAATAGGAGAGCTTTGTTTTATTAGACTAAATCTATATAGCAAATTTAAAACTTGAATTTCCTTCTTAGCCATACTTAGAAGTTTTGTTATCGAAAATAAATTTTTATATATAGTACTAATAAAATTTTATTATAAACAGTTGGGCTTAAGAATACTGCTTCTAAATAATAGGTATAACCATTGGAGAATACAAGAGACATAAATATTAAAATGTAGATTTTTGGTTATTGCTCAGGATATTCTTTAATGTATTTACAACTGAAATAAATATTTAAGAAACTGTTTTTAATCTAAATTTAAAATTACATACTCTAGTATCAACCATAGGAAAGTAGTGCTTACATTTTTAATAAATATTTAAGCATTTACTATTCATCATTAAAAACATTTCCTCATGTTGAACCATGTAAGATATTTTTTTTTTCCCGAGACAGGGTTTCTCTGTGTAGCTTTGTGCCTTTCCTGGGACTCACTTGGTAGCCCAGGCTGGCCTCGAACTCCCAGAGATCTGCCTGGCTCTGCCTCCGGAGTGCTGGGATTAAAGGCGTGCGCCACCACCGCCCGGCAAGATATTTTTAATTTGACCATTTTATCTCTGTAAAGGTATCATTTAATAGCCAGACAGGATAACACTTGATTGAAGTGTAGTTGGAAGGTTTCTCTGGTTCTTCCCAGCCCACTATCTCACACAGCCACTTATAAAATAATTACTCAGAGGTTTATATTAACAATTGCATGGCATATGGCAGGCTTTTTGCTAGCTAGCTCTTATAACTTAAATTAATCCATTTCTATTCATCTATGTTTGGCATGTATTCCGTGGCTTACCAGTTCGGCTGGCATGTTGTTCCTTGGGCAGCAGACTGGCATCTCTTTTTCCCTCTGCCTTTCTTCTTCCTGTTGAAAAAATAAAGAGATAAGTTGTATTGAATTAGATTAAAAATCTTTTTCATATTTTTTCAACAGTGAATTTTTTGTGTTTTGTAAAATTACTGAAATTTGTGTTCATGTGAATTTATATTGTTTCCCCCACAGGCTATTTAGCAGACATGACCCACAAGCAGAGGAAGCATTAGCAAAGAGGAGAGGAAGGAACAGTCCAAATGGGAACCTCATCCGGATGCTTGTTCTCTTCTTTCTTGAAAGTGAGGTAAGAAGGGTTTTAGTTGACTATTGTGTCCTTCTGTCACTTGATCTGAGGTAAGCAGTTAGGGTTCAGTCCACTATAGTCCTGAAAACAAACGCTTTTCTTGTAAAGTCACCATTATTAATTGCTGTGTACTTTGCTTTATGTGAGAATATACATACGTATAGGGGTGTATCAACATTAAATATAGTCTAGTAATTTTAAAGTTTTACACTATTTCACAATGCGAGTTCTACATTTTTAACTTTTCCCTTTTTTATGTCTAATTTATTTTATTAAACAGTTTTAAGAGCTTGGTGGTTCAGTTTTGTTGTGGAGTTTTGCCTAGCACACACAAGGCCCTGGGTTAAATTCTCTGCATCAAGAATAAAAGTTGTGAACATTGTCAAACTGTTAAAACTTAATTCTAGCTAGTTTAAGAATCATTATTCATTTTCCATATACTATAGTCTGTTACCATTATTGTGATTTTTATACTTAGCACTCACAACATATCTGTTTTTGAAGACAAAGTTTCATTTGCTCATTCTACTGTACTTTGATATTTTATTTAGTATTTCCTACTGGCATGATGTTGATTAAAGAATAAACTAATTATAAGGAGACCCTGAATGAATAAACTATTTAGTTTAGAAATGAATGAAAATAAAAATGCAAAAGAAGTTAAGAAAACTAAAGTCAAGGCAGACATGGTGGCAAAAACTTGTAATCCAAAGTAGATGAGAGGATGTGTTCAGGCAGATGACAAATTCAAGGCCTGACTAGGCTACGATGTGAATTCAAGGCCAGCTTGTGCAATTTTGGCCTTGTCTCAGAATTTTGAAGACAATACAAAGAAAGCTGGGGATGCATTCAGCTCAGTGATAAGACCTTTGCCTCATATGTGTCAGGCTCTAGTTTCATACCACAAAAAAATTAAGACTCAATTTATTTGGAAAATAGAAAATATCAGAGAAGAAGAGAAACCTAAAGGATTCTATGAATATTCAAATTTGATAGCACTGTAACTGCTATGTAAAAATGAAAAAGAAACAGAAAAATATACGACGTATGTAAAAACTAAAATGAGGCCAGGTGGTGGTGGCAGCAACAGAAGCGGCACACACCTTTAGTGCCAGCACTTGGGAGGCAGAGCCAGGCGGATCTCTGTGAGTTCAAGGCTCACCTGGGCTACAGAGTGAGTTCCAGGAAAGGCACAAAGCTACACAGAGAAACCCTGTCTCAAAAAAACAAAACAAAACAAAAAATGAAAAAAATACAAAGCAAATAAATAGAATGAGGGACATTAGAACAAAGCAAAAAGTTGTTGTAGGTAGACTTTTCTGTCCCACCTGCCAGCTCCCAAATAATCACATGGAGACATTAATTATGAAAGCTCAGCCAATAGCTTAGGCTTGTTTCTAACTAGCTCTTATAATTTAAATTAACCCATAGGTTTTTTTGGTTTGTTTGTTGTTTTTTTTTGGTTTGTTTTGTTTTGTTTGTTTTTTCGAGACAGAGTTTCTCTGTGTAGCTTTGCGCCTTTCCTGGAACTCGCTTTGGAGACCAGGCTGGCCTCGAACTCACAGAGATCCGCCTGCCTCTGCCTCCTGAGTGCTGGGATTAAAGGCGTGCACCACCACCGCCCGGCCTCCCATATGTTTTAATCTATGTTCTTTTATGTGGCTCTGTTACCTTTACTTTGTAAAGCCCATGCTGCTTACTCTGCATTCCTGGCATCTCCTGGTGACTCCACCTTTCTTCCCAGCATTCTCTCTGTCTCTAAAATCCTGCCTAGCTATTGGCCATTTGGCTCTTTATTAAACCAAAGTGACACATATTTACAGTGTGCAAAAAATTATTCCACAACAAAATGTCACTGTTTCTTCAAATAAGAATAAAGAGCCAGCAGCAGTTAACAGCTAGAGCACTGGCTGCTCTTCCAAAGGTCCTGAGTTTAATTCTCAGCAACCACATGGTGGCTCACAACCATCTATAATGAGATCTGGGCCCTCTTCTGGTCTGCAGGCATACATTTAGGCAGAACACTGTATACATAATAAATAAATAAATCTTAAAAAAAAAAAAAAAGAGCCAGGTGGTGGTGGCACATGCCTTTAATACCAGTACTCAGGAGGCAGAGACAGGTGCATCTTTGTGAGTTTGAAGCCAACCTGGTCTACAAAGCAAGTTCCAAGGCAGCCAGAGCTATACAAAGAAATCCTGTCTCAAATAACCATAATAATAATAATAATGATAATGATAATAATAAACAAAATCAGCAGGAGAGTTACATTCAAATATGTTAGTAACAGTGTCTTACATATGCCTAGAAATCTGACACTATGGTTTATTATTAATAAAATGCCAGTTCCAAACCTCTAGATTGGGACCTTACATTATACTTTTGAACAAATTCAAGGCTAAAGCATATGCTTCTAGTCCACATTTTCTTAAGTAAGGATTTAAAACATTGTTTTATTAACAAGTAAGTTTAGATATGTTACAGAATAAAATGTAACGGTTCAATTTTAAAGTAAAGCAATGAATTCCAGCAAATGTCACCTTGTGATAGCTCTTTTCACTATACCATTAGACTTTAGAGCAGCAGTTCTCGCTGTGCGTCACGACCCCTTTGAGGCTGGCCTATCAGATATTTACATTATGATTCATAACAGTAGCAAAATTACAGTTGTGAAGTAGCAATGAAATAATTTTAAGGTTGAAAGTCATCACAACATGAAGAACTGTATTAAAGGGTCTCAGCAGTAGGAAGATTGGGAATCACTGTTATAAAGAAATGGGAAAAAAATGTATTATTCAATAATTATAAACTATATAAAAAGTATTGCCAACAATGGCTTCAGATATTAGTAGAGATTAGCCATTTAAGTATTAAAGTGTTGAAAAGTTAAGGAGTCTAATGGTCTTAGCTAGTTTTACTGTTAACTAAAGGAAAAACTTTGGTTTTCTGAAAGTTCTCAAGAACTTCTTGATTTATTAAGGCATAAAAGTATTTTATTTTAGGCATTTTCATCTTTCATTTAAAATAATTTGTCATGCTTATGTCTACTGATTTCATAAATTACTAAATCTTAATGCTTGCCAGTGGTACAACAGTGTAAAAATATATATCCCAGTTTTCACACATGCCATTCCTTCATAGCTACCAAAGCCAAGTGCAAATCACATTTAAGGATTTGGCCATTCTGATGTCATGTATTTCACAAGAAATAGCCATTATTTAAAAAAAAAATCCTTTTCTGTTACACGACTGTGCACATTCAGAGCTAACTGTATGTTGAAGCCATATTCTTTAGTACAGTGAAACTCCCAATACTTTCCTATCTTGAATTCTGTTTTTAAACTTACTTTCTGTAAAACATGTCATTTTGTAAAATTTCGGATAGAATCTCTTGAAATCGGATGAGTTGTAAATCACTGAACTGTGATTAGTAGAACTGAGCACAATCCTTTGTTTTATTGAAATGTGAAATAAACTATTAGTAATGTAATTATAAAATGTTGAAAGATTTAAACAGGTAATATGGTGAAGAATGAGAGATCTACTTAAACTAATCGTTTGTTTTTTGTTGGTATCAAAATGTGACATTTATAAACTCCAGCAACCTTTTGGTAGTAGTTAATTTTAGGTGACAAAGTATCCTGTATTTTACATACTTGGCCAGTTGGTAGTAGAAGTATTATTTAAATGTCATGAGTCCAGAGTTTTCTATAGATGGTTTAACAATGAAGTTTGTTATATAAACTAAATTGTATTTCCTACTGACATAATTATTTTCACGTAGATTTATACAAATTTGGTTCCCTCTTGTAGTCTCATGGAATAGTCAGAGTAACAGGCACCCATATTATTGATAGACCCAAAAAGTCTCTTCAGGGTATTGCGCATTTCTTGACCTAGAATAATGTTCTTTGAATTCTTGGTTTCCCACTCTCCCTCCTCTTTCCTCCCCAAAAAATACAGCCTGTTGTCTCTTTGTTTTTTTAATGTGGGCATGTGTGTGGGCATCAGAGGACAATCTTAGGTTTTGGTCCTTGTCTTCCACTTTGTTTGAAATAGGCTCCTTTGTTGATCTTGCTATTTATGTAATGCTAGATAGCCTGTAAGTTTACAGGGTTCTGTTCTCTCAGTCTTTCATATCCTGCGAGTGTCAGGGTTACTTGTGCACTAACACAAGCTTTTTTGTGGCTTCTGGAAATTGTAATTCAGGTCCCCAGATTTGTAGGAAAAGCACTTTATCCATTGATGACCTCTTCAGTTCATATTCAGGTTTCATAAAATTAACTAATGACTAGCTCTCTTTTAGCAAGATCAAAGTATTGGAATGTTTAGAAATTATAAGGAGTAATAATTCTTAGTTACATTATATACACAATCCTTTAACGTCGACCAGAGGTTAAGAAGCAGACAAATCTTTAAATAAAACATTGGAAGCAAATTTGAAGCTACTTAAAGATGAATCAGAACATACCTGAACTATTATTATAAAAATCTCCAGGAATTTGAGATTGTTTCACCACATGTACAAGTTTAGAAGAAATCCTATAAAATAAAATCTAATTTTATCTTTCAATATAAAATGCACCAGTATATAAATAAGATTTAACATATAATGTCAATTTAGATATAACATCTATTTATAATAAATTTTCAAATATCCATCTTGCTGTATAGTAACTGTTCATTAAAGTTATTTGATTTTTTTGTTTGTATAATTCTTGAAGAGTATAAAACAGTTTTTCTATTACATGATTTTATAAAAGGTAACACTGATAACCATGTTTTAGAAAATTATTTTTCTTATAATTTTAAAGTTACCAAACTTTTTTAATCCTGAGAGCTTCCTTACTGCTGCTGCTCTATAACAATTATTTAAAATGCCTCCAAGTCCTTCTTAGAGCTTCATCTTTGACTCATAATAGAAGATCTTTGCTATCCTTACCTTTCTTAGAACTTTTTCACCCAAACATTGTTTCATGGTAGTTCAAATTAATTTGAA